CACACACTCTTACTAGCAACTAAAATTATTATAATAAAAACTAACAGTTTTAGAACCATTCTTTACTACCAACTTACAAATAAATAAATGTGATAGTGTTTTTAACTTGCTTAAAATACTTTTATAATAAAAAATAAAAAAAAATTATTACAAATACCTGTTAATTGTTCAAAACATTGATTTGTTTAATTTGATTTGATGAGGTTGAATAAATATTTTATGTGTATTATTATTAGTTTACAAAGTTGCATTTAAAGACTCAATCAAGTCCAAAAACCAACATTTAGAATAGGAATTAATTTATATTTTGCAATTCATCCACATTGAACAAAGTTAAAACTTTAATTTTAAAACTCATATATTTACATTTTTTATATATAATAAATACTTATGTGTTTTGATTGAAATAACTTCTTTTTTTAGACCCATATATTGATCCTTTTATATATAAAGTATTCTTAATGCCACTTCAATTTTTGTTACTGTCACCACAACCTCTCATACACCACATGCCACATTTGTTTAATATCTTGCAAAATATTTGATTGAAAAATAATTTTTGATTAGATCAAAATAATAATAATAATAATAATAAATAAGAAATATGCTAAGTAAGTGGCAAATTGTGATGGTAGTTACAAAAACTATGGCAGCAGTAGCAAAATTGTGGGAACATTGGTATTACTTTGTATACATAATTTTAAGTAAAATTTGATATAATTCAAATTACATTGTTAAATTGTGACGGTTTGTTTATTTCAGAAGATATACATTTATCATATACATGATTCAAGAATAAATCTAAATATTATTTTCTTCTAGACATGATTATTTTAAATATATAAGAATATTTACAACAGTCATACAAAGCATAAATCTAAACCCATTCAAATATTTTGTTATATATTTGCATGATTGAGAGTAAATAACTACAGTTAAAATCACTGTTTTGATGTTTACATACACATGTGAAATAATTCTAGTAACGTTTTGCTTTTCTTCAATTTTATTTTTGGAAAGACTTCCGTGTAGAATCCTCTTTCATGATAATAAAACACATGAAATAAAAATTATGAAGTATTTGATAGATAATTAACTCAAGAGGTAAAATAGAAAAACAACATAAATGACTTTGGTACAATACATAACATAACATGCTGAGTACTTTAGTTCAATGTTTAAAAAATAATTGAAATTGCAAGTCTTTTAATTTGCCATTGTGATGCTTCAAGTTGGTGCCAGTAATTGTAAAGGATTTTTGTGTAATAACTCATTCATGTTTCGTTTCATCTGATTGCATGTTTGTTTCTATCATTCACAAATGTTGGGCTTGCCTTTTAAATTATAGATGTCAGCAGATTGAAATGTCACTTTTATATTGAAAATTAATGACCCAAGTATCTCATAATAGATTGAAATGGAAAAGTTGAAATGTCAACTAATGATTCATGCACTACTTGTTTTTTTTAAGATTGTCGAATCTAAACCATTTTTGCAATCATCAAATGGTTATAAAACTTTTAATTCTGTGCAGCCATTGGAGTTTCACAACGACCCATTTCATAAACAAATGTCAATAGTGGCCAATCAAATATCGTTTATTCTTCTTTCAATTGTTTGATTTTAAAATAAAACACACACACACACACACACACACACATATATATATATATATATAACCATTTATTATTGGTTTTTATAATGTATTAACATGCACATATATAATCATGTCACACCTTTTCATATACAATATTGTTTTGTCACAATTTGTGACCTAGAGTCGAAATTGCCAAAAATAACCCCTGAATTATTATTTTTTTTAAAAACAACTCCTATAAACTTATACATGTACTTTTTGTTTTGAACACCCTTCCAAATATAAAAGTGGTAACACATTCACCTCCTGGTTTCAAACTCTATTAAAATTCACTTTGCATCTGCCAAATTTTAAAGTATATAGGAGCTATTTTTCACAAATATGATTCTTTCAGATTCATTTTTATTCCTTTATTCAATTTTGTTTTTGATTTTGTCGTGGTGGTGTTGGTAGTGGCGAGTACCAAGTGCAGAAGTAGTTGTCTGCTGTGGTACCATATCTGTCTCTGTCAACAGCAGACTGTTTTTTTCATTGCCAACAAAATAAATCTAAAACAAAAACAAAGCCCCCTCCGTGTTGTAAGTAAGCTAGTGGCAGTAGACATCTGGGAACAACAAGTATTGTAAACCTGGCATTCTCTCACACTGAATGGACAAACTACAGCCTGTGCTGTTCTCAAGGATGCCCAACCATGCATACAAGGCAATGCAAGGCATGAAAGTAAGTAGTCAGGGGCGAAGGGGGGGAATAGCAGAAGCCCCACAAACACACACTCACTAATAAAAATATAACAAACAAACCAATATAAATGAATGATTATCCAGAGAAAGCAAGCAGAGCAGTAAGAAACCAAATGACAGGAGGGAGGGAAGGAGAGAGGCACAGGATGACAGACGGACTGACTCACTCACTCACTCACCTCACTGACAGAAGAATCCATGGCTTTCCTGCCCCTCCCCTCTGCCCAGATCGTGTGCTGCCCCTCCTGCCCCTGCCCATCTGCCCATCTGCCCTGCCCCTGCCCTGGTGCCCCTTTTTCTGATGCCAGCCAGCAGAGTTTCAAAATTCAAACTGAGTGAGAGAGAGCCCAACATTTTGAATGGGAAAAAGAAGACTTTGACTGGCTTGATTCAAAAGATGAAGATGAAGTAGAAGGGACATACAAGGTTCTCACCCCCCCTTCCTCCCTCTCTCTCTCTCTGAGCACTCCCACACACACATGCACCCTCTCTGCCAGTCAGTTAGACTGCACCCCCTTCTCTCCATACCACATGTTCCTTTGCCTGCACTTCCATCTTCCCCTCCACTGGGGCTTAATAATAATATAACATCATCCTAAATAACAGAGAAACAAAAAAATGTCATTTAATTAGATACTTGTCATGGTGCCAGTACCATCTGCTAACATTAGTTAATTATGATCATCATCATTATTATTGTTGTTGTGTCTCTCTTCTGTGGATTGAGTTGTAATTTAATGGCTGTGTGGGGAGTCAATTTGCAGCGTTGTGAATATTCATGCTCAATCTGGGTCTTGTCCATACCCACTATCATAACACACACAAGCATTAATGAAATTGATGGAATGAAGGTGGAGAAGCCAAGAAGTTTAAGTCGTGAGAAAAACCATTTGAGTTAACAGTTGTTGTGTTGCTTGATGCTCTGTGAAGTTAAATACTTTATTGCAGTAGAATCCAAAGAAAATCTGGTGTAATATCCAACATTTCACTGTTTGTTTGTTTGTTTCTCTCTCATTGGCTTGGAACCAATTTGCCAAATTGCTCAGTTCCACCTTTCATTGTTTGATTCCTCCATTCATCCGTTCACATTCATGTCTGTATCAGTATAAAATTATAAATAAATATAAATATATAGATAGATATACACATACACATCCCATTCTTCTTGTCCCCATTTTCAAGTACCCGACAATGCCAAACCTAATGGAAGGCTTGCTGTCAATGTGAAGAAGAAAAGAAAAAGATATATAAATATATATATATTTATATATTTATTAAAAGAAAAAAGAAAGAAGAAAACAGCACGGCCCCAGAAAGCTCACCTGTGTAGAGAACCTGCTGTCCACCTGTAAAACTACAAACTTTGGCACTTGTTCACCCTCACAAAATAAAATATAACCAAATAAATAAATAAATATATACATATATGAACAAATATATATATATATATATATATATAGAAATAAGGATTACATCTTAAAAAGTAAAAGCCATTCCACAAGACCAGTTGTGAGGGTTCTACACAACAACAATAACGAGCCACGACGTTCGTTCGCCACAATTACGAGGCACATGGGTACCATTGACTCACTCACGCTCTCACTCACTCAGCAAACAAGGTGAGAATGCCATTCCCTTTTTTGTTCTTCTTATTTTAAAAGTAAATTCGAACTTTTTGAGATTATGTGAGTAGTAGTGTTAATAAGAATAAGAATAATAATAACAATACAGAAGCCACGCCGAAGGAAGTTGGTCCAGGGAATCGGACCCGACGCACGCAGAGGAACGGAAGAGAGAGAGGGAAGGAGGGAGGGAGGAGGAATCCGTGGAGGTGGAGAGCGAGAGAGAAAATTCGTGCGACGCTGGATTGACTGCAGCAGTAGCAGAAGCAGGAAAGAGTAAGCAAGAATTGGCTTGTTGGGGAGGAAGGAAGGCGATGGGGGAGGGCGAGATAGTGAGTGAGGTTTCATCGTCACCCTTCAGTTGGGTACCGTCTCTCGCTCAAGCTCTCATCTCAGTCACTCTTTGCGCGATGGTGACGACGATGATTTTGTCTCCATTCTCTCTCTGGACTAGCAGCAGCAGCAGCAGTAGTTGTAATAGGCAGTAGGAGTAATTGGAGTAGCGTTACCCAAACCCAAAGTTACGTCACACGCAGAAATCGCATGGGCAAGTTGTTGCTGTTGCTGTTGTTGTTGCGTTGCTACTGCTTCTGCTGCCATGTTGGCTGTCTCGCTCGTTGGCCTTCTTCTCCCTCCCCGTGAACTATTACTGTTGTTTTTTTCTTTCCTCTCGTAGACTGGCGATTGCGCAGCTACAGTAGCGATCTGTTTTTAGCTTCTCCGAGGTATCTTTGCGTGATCACAGTCGCCGTCGGTCCGTTGTCTTCCGTTCTTCTGTTTCTCCCCCCCCCTCGTTTCCCCCTCAAACAAACTGCAGGAGAGACAGAAAGATGCCGGCTCATGTGACTTGGTGATTGGGTTGCCACCTTTTTCCTCCGCTGCTGGAGATTGCGAAGCTGGGGCCTTGGCAAGGGGAGCTTAGATTGTCGGCCCACTCGCAGGATGCGCGATGTGAGAGCTGCAGAGTGTGGCTATAGTGAGAACCTTGGATTGTTGCTAGATGATAGCTAGCCGCAGGTTTGTTCCAGTGTGATTGATTTCCCACGTTTCTTCTCCCTGAGCTAGTTTTTTTTTGTGGTCTACGAATGGCTATGACTGTGGTCGTGATTGATGCGCCCAGACCAATCCCTTCAATGAGTTCTTCAAGTCGAAACCAATTCTGTAGGTTAAAATCGCTCATGGCATTCTCGAGCATGAGCTCCACGTCGATGAGTCACTGTAGGTCGCTTCTCCCTACAGTTCATGGGAGGCAGGTTACATTCCGGCTTTCACAGCAAGAGAGACTCTGCATCTGCAGTTAGAGAGAGAGAGAGCGATAGCGAGAGTGTTATTATTTAGCTGTCTTTGAGATTTTGGGTTGAAACATTTACACGAATCCGGGCTTGCACACAATGTCGCTATGTAAGGCAAGTACCTCACTAAAGAGAGGCCTAGAGTTTGGTACTGGTTGGGATATTTGGATCTTTGCCACTCGGAGCCGGCTATTGCCTCCGGTCGCTATGTTCCCAACATCGCCTACGAGGACTTCTTCCTCCTCCGTAACTAAGTACCCATTCTAATTTCAGTGGTCCCTCTTCCTGTTTGTTGTGAACATTATCTTCTCTGGTGGTGAGGTTTGGTGCAATGTGGATACAAACACCAAACCACGATCTTGTCTTATCCTCACCTAGCCTTAGGCCAGCGGCTGTGAACATCTGCGAACTTCGCTGATTTTTCCGAACCTCTTTTGTAGGAGACATCGCTTCTGGATTCATAAATTTAAACTTGTCGTAAATAGTTGGGGTGTTGCCCTTCGTCTTCAACGACCTCTAAATCTGGAGTGCACCCTTACTTCATCCTCAGCTCTATTCTCTTTGACGTCATATTCCTTCTTAAACCCTTTAATTGTTAAGGTTATTGTCATTGGATCGCTTTAAGTTAAACTTTTAACCTCAATCAGAGGACTCTTAGTAGCCTTTGACTCGGAGATGCTTCATGAAGAGACCAGGTTTCGATCTAGTTTCATGCAATTTACTTGTTAAGTCCTTATTTCTGTCTAACTTGTGAAGTGGACAGATGAGACCTAACAGGCTACGTAACATGGTTTCTTTCCCTTCTGACAGCAATACTCTGCAGTTTAGACTCCTTTTGCTTCCCTCTTCGGAATTAATGGTAGCCAGGTTCACATCAATGCGAAGTTGACTGTCACTGATGTCGGTAGACTATTCATTGCCTTCCTATCCAGCTACACTGTGATTTGAAGAACTGCAGTCCTTCGCCTGTAAAAAGCAGAAATAATTTCTTTTGACCCAAGTGATGCACGATTGTATTGTCGAAACAACTTTGTGTCAAAACCTGAAACCAAATCCCCTAAATTTCGAGCTACATAGGTCATCACTTATGCTTTCAAAAGTTAATTTTGTTTTCCTCTGTTATTGCAGACAGCAGCTAGGAAGAGCAAGAGTAGGAAGGAAGCTCAGCATTGTTTCGGTCACTCGTCTTTGCAAGTGGACACATTTTTGGCATTTTGGTATTCGAAACTGAAGCTTGTGAAATACATCCATGTGCAGGATGGTGTTGTCTCCACGGACATTCTAGTCTCCTGATAAAGTAGGCTCACGTTGCTCGAAGAAGTGCGACTTCAATGGAGGAGATGGTTCAATCGTGGTTCAACAAAGAGGTGGTTCTGAGAGGAGGAGCTTCTCCGCCTTCTACGATATCGGGACCTCTGCATCTGCTTAAATGCTTTTACTAATGTTCTGGAGGCCAACCACATTCTAGACCAAAGATCTTTTGACACCAGAAAAATGGACAAGTTTCAGGAGAAAGAATCGTCTAAGCGGAGCTGGCCTGGAAGAAGAAATCTAATGAAAAGGGATCCGTGGCGCCAGAGCTTGCTGGAGCTTCACCAGTCCATTCTTCCAGACTCATCGATGATCATCAGGTTAGAAATGGCAGCGTTTGTACACTAATTTCATGCTGAAATCAGAAAATTCTTTTAATTGGGTTATCACTTAACTGTTAGTTCTTGTGCCGCAGAAATGGGACTATCACCATCAGGAACTGTCAAAGCACTTGCACCAAGCGTCACCTCCACGGGTGCCCCCTGTCCTGCCGAAGCATGCCAAGCTGGACGTTAAGGATGGCCATGTAGTTTGCCAAGACCTTTTACGAGTAAATTTAGTAAATGATATTCGATTTCATTCATTAATCACGACGTGAATTGGTAAGTAAAGAAAAACAGCACTAATCTGCGATTTGAACTGTTTGATCCCCACAGGAGCAGGCCAGAGACTCCCACGAGCGCTGTCGCGAGGCTTTGAACGAAGCCAGGAGTCAGTGGAAGCAATCCGAGGAGCGAGCTCTAACAATGAATGAGAAGCTGAACGAGAAGCTGGCTAATGCCCTTGCGGATATTTCTACCAAAGATAACCTAGTAAAGCAACATGTCAAAGTGGCGGAGGAGGCTGTCACAGGATGGGAGAAGGCGGAGGCAGAAGCAGTGGCCATGAAAGCACAGTTAGATGTGGCTCTGCAACAAAAGCTGGCTACTGAGGACCGTGTTGCGCACTTGGATGGGGCGCTGAAGGAGTGCATGAAGCAGTTGAGGCATGTGAGGGAGGAGCAGGAGCAACGTATTCATGACACTCTTGTCAAGAAATCGCGCGAGTACGACAAATTGCGCATTGAGATGGAAACAAAGTTGGCCGAATCATCTCATATTCTATCCCAGACACGATCAGATCTTCTGGAGTCCAGAGCAGAAGTGACAGCCCTTAGCCACGCCTTGCAGGTCTAGTATCTCTACCAGTTCGTAATGCTCAGCTCTGCTGCTTTAAAAAAGTTGCTTCCAGTGCCATAGTGGATGATCTTCACGAATTAATATACTTATATATCACTTGAACAGGAACGTTCGAGAGGCTTAGCGGAGTTGAGCGAGGTGAAGGGGCGAGCTGACACAGAAATCAAAGTGCTTCAGGTAAGCATCCAAGGTCAATTCAGATTTTTTGAAAAATCTTCGACGTGTAGAGATGAAGTCGGAGGTCCGTGTGGACAAGCAACACCAGAAACGCGTACTGACTGATTGGTGGTTTTGGTGGCTGTAGGTGAGGCTGGAAACTATTGAGAAGGAAAACTCTCAACTCAAGTATGAAGTGCATGTGCTTAACAAAGAGCTTGAAATACGGAGTGAGGAGAGGGAGTACGAGCGCAAGGCTGTTGATATGGCGTCCAAGCAACACCTTGAGAGCGTGAAGAAAATCACGAAGCTGGAAGAGGAATGTAATCGACTGCGTCTGTTGGTTCGCAAAAAGCTTCCAGGTGGTCCCTCCTCAATCCTAGTCATACCGGTGGGTCCCGAATGATTTTTTGCATTCAGAAGGTTTGATACCTGAAATACGAGACCGTACTGTTACTACGTAATTTTCTTAGATTCTCAAAGTTTATATCCTCTATGTGGAGTAGTTCACGTTGTAGAGCGCCTGATTCGCACAGAGGAGATAGTAGAACTGGTCCCCACCTCCTCGAATTTCACAACGAGCAATTAGCACGTTGACTTGAATATCTTCACCTGGGCTCTCACACAGGTCACCTTGATGAGTGATCCCCTAGTGACAATTTGAATGAGGGCTTCTAATATTAACCTCTTGGATTAGAATCGGGGTCATCCAGAGTTGCGTTGACACAACCCCTGAAATTATATCACACCCTTCCTGAGCTGAATTTTTCAATCTTTTTAATTTGTAATTATCAAGTAAACTACATTGCCACCGCCATGATAACCAACAGTAGCAACTGCACTTGGCATCCTCAGGTCCAGCAGCAATCCAGAGGATGCGGATGGAGGTGGAAGGCATTGGAAAAGACAACAATGACAAGGCTCGGCGTCGCTCATTAGGCCGGAGTGCGAGCAGCGTGGACCAGTCCTCAGCTGAACCAATGCAAGAAAATGGAAATGGAAATGAAAATGGTAGGCGAAGTCGAGAGGCTCAGATGTTGGCAGAGCGAGTGGTGGCCATGGATGAGGAGATGAAAATGTTGAAGAATTCACTCGCGCAACGAACCGGGGAGCTCCAAGTGGCCCGCCTCATGTGCTCCAAAACTGCATCGCGCCTCTCAGTCGTGGAGGAAGAACTTAACCAAGCAAAACTTCATCACGGTACTCGTCTACAATCTTGCTCCCTAATCTTCAGAACACATTGCCAAATACATTGACCTCTTAATATTCGTAATCTTCGTGACTGACTCGACTGTGAAGGGAATCACTGAATGTTAGTAATTTTGATTTTGCAGAACCAACACAACAAGTGTCTGAATCTGATCCTACGAAACAAGGAAAAGGCTCAACGGGAAGCTTCACCGACACACGGCGAGACTCCCAAAACTTCGAGCTCATGGACGACTTCGCTCTCATGGAGCAGTTGGCAATGAAGGAAGCTTTGACCGAATCCGGAATTTCTACGCATAGTACAGTGCTCGTGTCTCATGAAATCGATTCAACATCAACTACTACTGCAGGGTCGATGCACCAGAAGGTCTTAGAGTTGGAGGAGTCCATAGCAGCTAAAGTACGTGAGCTAGAAGAATCCAAGGATCTCTGCCAAGACCTTAAGTCAAAGCTTGCAGCGGCTGAGGATCTAATTGCTGTGTTGCAAACTCGAAATTCAGCCAACGAGACCACTTTGATTAACCTGCAAGACCAGCTCGATCGACTGAACGAGGCCCGTCTTGAGCAAGAAATTGGTGGTGAACATGCTTCGACACCGATTTCATCCAAGAGGCTCTCGGGATACACCATCAAAGACATCCTCGTTAGGGAAAGATCAAAGAGAGGAACTCAAGTGTCTTCAGACGCGAGCTCCTCTGAATTAGGAGAAGTCCATGAGGATCACACGTCCATCTCCGACGCTGAGTCGAAGGCCAGCACCGTGCACTCGGAGTTAGCAGTTGCAGTATGTAAGATATTACATATCGTGGAAGCTTTGGCCCAGGCTACCGGAAATGAGCACAGTCCATTGAACTCTAATCACTCCGACGTGACAGTTGGCGAAATATGGTTGCAATTTGAATGGGAGAACATGGCGCTGGACAACACGATGCGCAACCTTGCCCACGTTAGCAATAGGTTCCTGCAAGGGAAGTATGATCTTATCGACTTTGTGACAGAGTTGGGGACAGCCTTGGACTCCATTATGGCTCTCAAATCGAACGAAGGCGCAAGGCATAGAGGAGAAGAGAGCAATGAAGAGATAGCAAGCGTCCACCAGGAGGCTCACAAGGATCTAGAACGGCAGAGTGAGGAGTTTGCCGATCTGAATGCTGAGCTTGACAGGCTAAAATCTGAGAAAGCAGAGACCGAGAGGCTCTTGGAGGAGGCAAACGAGCAGTTAGAGGTGTTCAAGGTCCAGCCACATGAATGGAAGCAACTGGTTTCCGACAGGAATATGTTATTACACGATCAGGTGACAATACGCTCAACTCTTCATGGCAGAATCACAAACTTAACTGTTGGGTCCTCAGATTCTGGTTTGTTCTAAGTTTGTGTGGCACAAACACATCGTTGTGGAATATTTGAGTTTATACGCACTACTTAGTAGATTGTGGATTTTACTTTTTTCTGGTATTTGCAGCAGGAGGCTGAATCTCCAGATACTGACAATGGAAAGGATCAAGATGACATCATCGAAGAAGAGTTGATGCAGCTATCATCTTCGAACCCCGCCCTTCGAGCTGCAAGTGGGGAGCTTAGTAAATTGCAAGACAAGGTGGCTGCTCTGGAAAGGGAGTTGAATGGTGAACGCCAGCGCTATGAAAGTGTTTCCACTCAGCTTACAGTGCTTCAGCAGCAAATCCGGAGGTACTGCCTCGTGCAATCCCACGTTTTACAGATAAGAATGATTTTGTGGTACAATTTCAATCCACCGTGCTTTGAAAACAACCATGAATCCGTCTTGTTACACTGAAGCTGACTATTTGTGGCTTATTTTCTTGTGATGCTGTCTGAAAGAGGACATGCTGTCAGCAGTGAAATTTCCGGGCTCTCTCACGGGGAGTTTTCAAGTCACTCTACGTCGGATGAAGACGAAGACGACACCAAATCCCTTAAGGTAGAGAACAAATGGCAACATCGAACTCAAACACTGTTTATGTCGACCTATTAGGAATGTTGTGTACACTATAACAACCTTAACCTCCAGAAGTATGCATTCCTTTCAAGTAACATATGTTCATATGAATGATGTACAGCAACGGAGAAGTGAGGCAGCAAAGCAGGAGGAGGAGGAGCGGCAGATAGCAGCAGCGGCACTGGCCGAGTGCCAGAGGACCATTCTAGTTCTGGGGAAGCAATTAAAATCCATGGGCGCCACCATTTCACCTCCACCTGACCTTCCCTCGTCAAACTCCTCCGAATCAGCAAACTCCATACAAAAGATGACTGAGAACATGGAGCTTCTCCGGTGGCAGACCGAAGCAGGATCCACCTTGAGCATACATAACCACATTCCGTCGGGGGTGAAGGACCGCTCCGGCCCTGGATCTCCATGGAACAACCACGCTGGACCTCGCCGGGCACCTCGCAGCCCCAGCCCAGCGCCACGAAACGGTGACTCCAGCTTTTACCTCCGAGCAGAGAATGGGACCAGCTATGGCAACACTGGTTGCAAAGGGCCGCAAACAGGCTTCTCTTCTCCGTCATGCTCCGAGTACTCCCCCCACGAGCCTCTCTCCATTCCAGGGTCTCCCTCCCGGGGCTCTGGAGCAACCCCCCAATCCAACGGCAGCCCTCGTGGCTTCAACGCAGATCCAGTCGCAGCCAATTTCAGCCGCTTCTACTCACTCTCTTCTGGCGCAACCTGATCCATCTCTTGCATCGGAACTGTACCCACAATTCAGTCCCATCGATTAGTTCATGTCACAGTAGTGGCTCTGCTCTTGAAGCTGTCGGCCGAAAGCTGCACTGCGCAATCACGTAACGTGCTTGTCTTCACTTGAGTTGTGAAACAATGCATTATTGACAGGTGGGTGTCACCTTTAAGTTTCTATGGCTCTTCATCATCATCTTCAGCTTCCACTGCTGTAAAGGTGTTATATATGGATGTTTTCAAAGCACTGGGTTGAAGGTTTCGTAATGTTTTATTGCCGATGGCCTTGGTTAGCCCCCGTTGCGCCGCAGTGTCTCTCATCTTGAGTATAGCCATTGCATATATGTATATGTGTGTGTTTGAACAATTGTTTTCATTACATGTAGATAATATAATGTAATATGAGTCGTGACAACTGTTTTCAGTCCATGAAGTGATGTTTCCACATCTTTGTGTCACTGCGGTTTGTGTGAAGGATTTGTTGTATGTGTAGGCCACCAGAGTGATAGCAATACACGATAAGATCAATCCTTGGTAGAAAGTTTTAGTGAATACTGAATTTTACGTACCAAGTTTGAGGTTTTCAAATGAACTGAAGGTGTAGTTAAGAGTCGTTTATTAAAAACAACAGACAAGAAGCAAATTCATTTTTTATACAATGTGGTGATCAAGTTTGGCAAACAATTTCCATGCAACAAATTCAAACCTTACAATAATTCAAAGATATTTTTGTGAAACATATGTATACTTTCCTAGTTTAAACCTTGTCAAATCTCCGAAGATGACGTTGTACGTAACGTTTTGAAATTTAAACTTTGCAGTTGTGCCAAGTCAATTAAAAAAATCACATAATTGACGAGGTTAAACAGTAAGAAATTTTCATGGCTACTTTTTTGTCCAATGATTATTAAGCGTGTTTGCCCTAATTCAAGAGAAGCTACACAGATATCATGGTATTATTTTGATCTCATCATTAACTAAACATAATTTGGTATTCTTGAATTTAACTCAAACTAATGTTACAAATTAGTGATTGATACCCTGATTAGTTCTAAACCCAATCTTATTAGTGTCTTCCATGTAAACAATAGTTTTAGATAATTAAGTGGATTAAACTTCTAAGAATAACCACATCAACAAATGATTTCATCCAAATCCATTATTCTCCGCCATCCAAAGTCATCCATCCAGTCGAACCTTCGTCTAGGCTAGTCTCCGTTGACGTCGAAACCCTAATTTCTGACAAGTTGATTGACGGGAAGCCGCTTCTCATAAAGCGGATTGGACCGATCGGAGCCGCTTCTCATAACGCGGAAAAAGTCGCAGCTTGCTGTCAATTACGAGGTGGGTCCCACTTTACGGAACCCCCAATTGCTGGGTTTCATAAAATATCTTTTACGCTTCACGATTTAGTTGACATCTCTGCGTGTGGTATAAATGCAGAAATAACTGTTTCGCGTAATCGAATATTTTGCACCGATGCAAGGGTGTGGATAGAATTTAGTCATCTGATAGGCATGTGTGTCACGATTTCTCTCACGCTTGTGTCTGTGCGTTTCGGTTTTGATTACTATAAACAAATTACTGTGCAAGAGTTTGTACTGCCATCATGCCCTTTCGTGTAGTTAGGGCACTGTGGCACATTTTCTGATCCCCCTCGTGTGAGTGATTCATACAGAGGAATGCTGTTTATTGGTCCCGTATATGAATTTGTTCAGATGTATGCGTGTGCTGTTTGATTTCTTGATTGAGAAGGTGGAGGGGAGGAAGCAAGCATCTGCTGATGCCTTGATGAACTAATCTCAGTTCATCATGGTCTGCATTGGTGAAAGCGTGTCACCCAGCAAGTTACGTCTACATTTGCTTAAGGTTGTTAACAAAGTGTCAGTAGTGGCTTATGTTCACACTATTAGGTCCGTGTCGGTTGTGAAAGAAATCACCAGAAACAGGTGCATTGTTACATTAAGTCATGGTTGGCTGTGCATCATTTCGTGGACACCTACGATTTGTGAAGCTTTCTTCAATTAAGGATTCTCCTGGGTTCATAGAGACTCATAAAATGACATGAAACTGCTGATGTTAGTGGAGGGGTGTCCTGAATGCAATGCACACGGAAGCTTTTCAAAATAGGACCGTGGTGACAGGCATTGAGCACAACTATAAATTAAATATTGATTCCTCTTTAAAAACTAGTTTTGCTTCAAGTTTTTCTTCGATCTTTTCTTCCAACATCAGTTCTCTCCAAGTGCGGCGAGATTTCCCTTAACATTTTATATTATCAACTTCAGGAGATCTCGGGTATGCGTACTTCGTTGGACCAAGAGTGCCGGCAGCAGGACTGTCGTCAATCGCAAGCACCGTAGTCGTGGTGCACATGGTAGATCATGGATTATTTGGAGCCCAACAAGCGGTCAAATTACCAACAGTTTGTCTCAATCGTGCAGGCGTAAGGTGTCAAGTCCCAATCAAATCTAAAATTTGGTCTCTAATAGGTCCCTTTGTGACTATTTGTAAACTCTCAAACTGTACAATTCAGTATCTCTATCTTACATGAGCACCAATTTAAATTGCTAATGTTCATATCAAAAGCTAATTTATCTCAATTTGTAATAGCATTGGAGTTTATGATTTAAGGAAGAACAGAACAATTTAATACAGAAACATGGCTCCAATTTAATGAAAAAGTTCAATTTAATTTACCCCCCTCCCTCTTTTTTTTGTTAATGCATAACACATGATTTTGACCCTCACACATTTTTTTTCTAGTAATCTAAGAAACACAACTATACTTCAACTTAATGGCAACTAATGGCTTATTTTCTATCAAAATTTAAGATAGTGGAAAAAAATAAAAAATAAAAAATCAGACTTGCCTTGAAAATAGCTTCGGTGTTATAGTGTTGAAAATACACCCTCTTTGCCACAAAATTTGCAATGCTCCTTGCAAAAATACTCAAATCGATGGAACGATTTATTTTCCTATTTCTCCTTTATACTGCCCAAGATGGCAAAGACCTCAATTCAACTGGCTATGAGCAATTTGAAGAGCTTGTTTACACATTCTTCAAAGAAAGTCAATCTACACTTGTAAGACTTATTTCAAAACTCCTCCACCTAATGGTGCACTCAATTCTACTTTATTAAGTTGGAAAAATAGCTCTTTTCATTAAGCTACTTATCCACAACTTCATTCAACCTTCCTACAAACAACTCCACAATATGAAGTTCCTTGAGAAGAATAAATTTTATCCTAGTTTTTTTACTTGTTTGTTTTCTCCATTCACTAATGAATGTTGAAAAGGGAGAAAATCATACATATTAGTTGGATATGTTGAGATTTATTTGAAGTTGCTTTGCTTTACATGCAAGTGCAATGACAACAAGTCCATATAGGAAAATGATTGCAACTTTAGTTTTATATTAGTCAAAGCTAAGTAATATAATATAACCTTCATATCTACAAATGATCCGAAATCAACAATTCTATATAGAAAATTATATTTTTTTGCTATATAATTGCAATTCTATAAAAATTGATGCATTCCTTCAAATCTTCTATTTTAAATGTAAAAACATTGCTAAGTCTTTTCAATTACAATAGAAAAACTTCAATTTAAGTAGCAGCAAGAATACCTTCTATTATTGATTAAATAAGCCAAAAATGGTTTAATATCCACCTTTCAATCCTTCTAATAAAGTCTTTTCCATTGAATATTTAGTAAAAGCTTTACAAAAGGTATCTTCCATCATGGAGCTCCATGATTTTTGGTAGTTGTTGTAAGTATAAGAAGCAATGGCAGAAGCTTGCTGTAAACATAATAATCTATTGCAGTTACATAGTTTCTATTACCTAACTGTTACCAACTACATAATCTTTCATCTTGTCATAGGAATTTTTGATTGTCAATCTCTTTTGCTATTATATTAGTTATTAAGTAGATACTTTATCTAAATAAGATTACTAATAGGATTATTATTAGGATTTTTAAAATGACTCTTTTATATGTCAATGTAGTACATGCTAATGCATTGTCATCATCATTGGTCAGAGAAGGTGACATCAATATATTCAATGGTTTATAAAGAAATCTTGTCAATTTTTTCAAATAGTAGTGCAAAATCTGTACTTAAATCCAACCAAACCAAGATTGGAGAGAATCCATCAATTCTACTAACTAAGAACTATATAAGATTTTTTGTGAAAACAACTAGAAGGTAAATTTATATTTCCAAAGAAGTGATGGTAGCCAAAGCTTGCTTTATAAAAGATTACTTGGTGGTGTCTAATTTTGTTGGAAATATTTTTATTCAATTATAGTTTAAGATTTGGTTATTGATCTTCAATATGACTTTCAGTAGTAACAAAATAATAGCCAATGATAGCATAGGTCAAGGATTTTTTTGCCTTAAAGTATTAACTAAGAAAGTAGCACAATAAAATCTTAGCACTTATGTCCTATCGAGCCACTAATATCTTGAGTATTTTCCAACCTTGGCATCTTCATTTTGATCCAAATATACAAAGAGGTATAATCATTTCAACTTAAATTATACTAAAAAAGAAAAGTTGCCTTGACAATTCTTTAATATAGATTCAATAATTATAAGTTGTTTGGACAAAATATTAGCCATAGATACAAATAATAATACTTTCACAAATCCCTATATCTATATCATCTTTGACATAAGCCATAGATAGAAGACCAAATTTAAAATCAAGGATTAAAAGATATACAAATTAATTATTGTAATTATTGACTATACTCACTTCACGATCAAATTTATATTCTATCTTGACATTCATTATAAAATTTAATCATATTTTCATAAGTTATATAACAGGGTATAGATAAGATAATTGTATAGATAGTTAGAACCATGGAAGTTTCTAAAATTGAGGTTATGTTAGTCGACTAGGTAGGACCTATCATAGAACATTCTAAAAATAATTTAAGGCAATTATTTAGATAGGATCTATCATGAAACCTTCTAAAAAAGGCTTAAGGTAGTTATATAGATGGAGCCTACTATAGAATCTTCTAAAAAAAATTCAAGGCGATTATCTAGGTGGAACCTTGTGATTGCTCGTTTTACTTATTCCGGAAGAAACCTCCCAGCATAAACCCATATAAGGGGATTTGAACATGGGAAATGACCCTGTATATGAGCTCCAATTGTTAGGGTCACGCAATTAACCGCTACTATTGAATGCTTACTATACCGAAGAACACTTAACTTTTCCTCCTATTGTCCACTCTCTCATATCAATACAATAACATCCACGACAACGATTTCAGTACCCTGTGTAATTCACGAACACACAAGCATATTCCAAACCCTGGAACAAACAACTTCCAATCTACAGAATCTAATCAAGACAATTCCTTCGATTACAATTCCTCTCCACTAAACTTACAACCTTGCAATAA